AAGTGGCTGGCAGCAACCACCACAGATGCATACGGCTTCCAACTGATCCCCTGCAGCACTGACACTGTGCCCCTCCCCAGCTGCAGGCTCCTTTGTGTGTTTGTGTCTATGCATGCACAACATAGTGCAAATTCCACATATGGGACGTGCACTAGACCACCCCTGAAATGGCAGTAACCTGCAGGAAACCCCTGGCTCACTCAGAAGCTATGTGATTACATTTGCTCAAGTGTGCTGAGTTGGGGGTGGCTGAACATGCAGAAAGTGTTCAGACTAGTGCATCTGACTGTGGGTGATCTACATCTGATTTCGCCACTGCATATTCCTCTTCTGTCTCTCCAATGTCCTTACTCTCCTTGACCTTAATCAGCCTTTGACCTTCCCACTCTGAATTCCTACCTTGATCACCTAATGTAGTCATTACACTGTAATCATCGAAGTTATGTGTAGATGAGGTCTACTCTGAAAACAGCTTTTTTCAAACAGGTATCAGAAAATAGCCATCACCACTCTAGGTCTTGCATGCGGCGGGGCCACTGCTCAATGGGGCACCTACACTTGGTATGTGGAAGGTCCCAGTTCAATCAAAGGCACGTCTGGGTGGAAAAATCTAGACGAGCACTTTAGGCAACCTGTTGGGGGCTGCATTTCCTTGTGGGGTCATCTCTTGGTGGAAAGGACCAGACCTGCCCCATAATCTCGTTCTTGTGTGCTCACAAATACCAACACTTCAGCCTTTCCTGTGGGCAAGGATTCTAAACAGTAGGGCTAGGAAAAACCTTTGCTTGAGAAGCAATTGCCAATCAGAGCACGCAATGCTCAGCTAGATGGACCAATGGTCTGACTCAGTAAAAAGGCAACTTCATTTGCCTGAGACGCAGGATTAGCAGAGCAGGGTCTTGAAGCTTTGCCAAATGGGGTATAGATTTAAAGAGATGTGACTGGTACGACTTTTCTATACATGGATGCACAACTGGAGTAGAGAAAATATCACGATAAACATGCCCTGGTTTAAGTGGGGGAAATGGTGTTATTATTTCAAAAGAAAATGATGACTCTGTCTTGCTCTCACCTATTAACTAATTGCCCCTACTTCCCTCAGCAAATATCTGCTGGCTCAACTTTCCAAAGCTTGGATGTTTATTACATTGTGGAAATTACTATGCAACAAACTGCCTTCCAGCACTGAAAGTAATGCCAAGTGCCAACCTTTGCAGGGATCTTGTTGTAACAACTTTTAAAGATTTCTTTGGCTCTCTTCTCCATTAGTATGCAGATCAAAGATATTAAAAATTCTCTCTTCCTTCAGAACCACTGAGGTGGCAGGGCTGAAAGAACACAAATTAATCTTGTCTTTTTAAAAAAGTAGGAGCTTCAAGAGAGAACTAGGTGCCAAGAGCATTTAACACAACCATGTCCTGATGAGAGCTACCCACCCTCTCTTAATCACAATTTTCCCAGGTCAGATTCACCTCTTTGAAAACAACGGTGTTCTACATTTGCTGTGTTTGTTATTGAAGATCTTTTTAAAATCTGGAGTGCTGAATTTCCACACCCCTCTCTCTTTGATTCACAGCCAAGAGAGGAGTTCCTGCAAGACCCGTCTCCACCCCTTTCTTGCTCTTCTCTTATAAAAGAAGGAACAACTGAACTGCTAGCACCTTATTTTCTCACAGGCTAAAATCCAGATTCATGCTAGCTCTCTCCCTGGTGCTGTCTCTCCTCCCACCAGAGCTTACCTTTTTCTTTCTTGCTGCAACAAGAATACGAGAGATCAGCAGCAGCAATTCCAGTCTGGAGACTTAGCAAGACTTAACACACACAGAGGCTGCTTCTCCAGAGCTATTTCTTCACCTGTCTGCAAACATAACAACTCAAGCCTCAAACTCTCACCAGACCAAAGCTACCAATGCTCTTTGGAAAGAAGCCTCCAGCAGAAATTTAACAGCGAAGAAGAGGTTCAAACCGAAGGGAGCGGGAACTGTTTCAAGAAGTCAAACAAGAAAGAACGAGGGAAGTTTTTAACCTTTCGAAGCTTAAAAGATTTTGAAGGAATACTGCAAATAATTTTGCTTTTGCCAGCAGACACTTTTGTCCTTAAAAAAAGACCCTGATTTCATGCGGACTGCCAAATCAAGGGAAACGTTGAGAGACTTCTTGTAGAAAAGTTACGGGGTATGCAAGAGACCAACTCTGGAAGCGCAAGTTTTGATGGGGACATTTCCCCCATTTTATTCCTTCTGCGTTCATACCTGTGCTTTCTCTCCCCTAAGGAGAAGGCAGAAAGGTAACCAGTAATTATTATTTTCCTCAGAGCCTTTCAGAGATATCTTACCTAAGTAAGAGTGCATGTTATTTTTTTGGAGAACAAACGTTTGCACAGGAGAAATGAGAAAGCGCAGGACCCCCTGTGTATGATACCACAGACTGTATCCCTTTCTCACCTCTGTGCCTGAACTCTAGGAACCTTATTTCTTTTCTTTTCTTAAAAAATAACCCACCTCTCCTTCAATGTGTCTGGAACTTCTGGGAATTGGAGTCGGCATGAATTTCGGAGTGCTCTTCGTGTGTTTCTCCTACCTGCCACTCGTCAGCAGCGAGGTGAGTAATTTATTGTATTTCCTTAAGAAATAAGAAAGGAACACCTACCTACCTGGTGAACTTCAGACTTGTGATAAGTGTGTGAAAGCAAATGAGGGAGAACACTCTGCATAGGTGATTATCAGCAATGTATGTGTACAAAAGTGTTTAATGCATGGAGGGGTTCCCCCCCCCCAGATCAAGGAAACTAACTTCCTTTTACTTGAAAGAAAGCCTCATTGGAAGAAATCCTATTTGCTAAGAAATACGTTGTTGAAACCAATGTTTAGGATTACAGCATTGCAGCACTATCCTATGCCTGTTTACCTGAAAGTTCCCACAAATTCAGTGTGATATATGCCTCAGCAGATGTGAATTAAATTGCAGCCTTAATCTAATCAGTAGCCAAACAGAAAGTGTATTATTGAAGGAGGCTTGTGGGTTTCATTCCATGCAAACTTTTAATTACTTGAGCAACCTGCTTGAAAAAGTAACTTGCTCTTCACTGCCTTCCCTTTGGTGTTTAGGTTTTGTAGAGTCCTGATTATGCAGACCAAATCTTCAGATTATCCAGTTCATTCTATGTCCCAACACTGATATTACCATGTAAGATAACACACATTTATAAATACTTATCATTGCTCCAATGTTTTGATAGCCCCTCCAATAGTTTTAGGGAGTTAAGAGTTCTTATTTGCAGTGCACTGTACCAACCCTTCTGCCTTGGTGGCTCATGAATTGGCATCTTAGGGATTTTTACAGGCTCCTCAAAGGTAAAGCAGCTCTTCCACAAAGAAACCATATCAGATTGCCCCAGAGGATCAGTGAGATAGGCCTTTGATGAAATCAGGCATTTCTACCTGGGAATTCTGCCCAGGTACCTGCTGCTGCAATGAGGGTGGGAAAGTCTCTGGTAGTTTATAGGAGTCTGCAGAATATTATCATACTGCCTGGGGGAGTCAGACTGAATTGGAAAGCGCAGAGAATTTCTCTCTCTCCCAGGATAAGAGGTCAGACCAAAGGGAGTTGGATATTGCAGTTTTGGCTGGCAGCTGAATTCCAACTGGGGTTTACTAGCGGAGGGCACGGTTTTCCAGCTGTTCCAAGTTGGAAACTGCCGCAGGAGGGATCCTGTATCAGTTCCAAAGAAATGCCCAAGAGGAAAGAGAGGGAATGCAGAGACTTGAGCTAGGGAGCGGTTCTTAAAGGGCCCGTGCTGCTTTATTTCATTTTCACTTTGAAGAGACGCCTACCAGACCTACATTCCATGCGTTGGACACTGCAGAACAAACACCAGATTTACACCAGGTGGGACCCCAAGTCCTTTGTTTTGAGGGCCACCCCCTGGAGGTGGTGTATGGCTCATTTATCACTGGTTAGTTACCTCTCACAACCCTGACAGCTCAAGAGAGAAAAGGGGTTCGATTTTCTCAACAGTTTCACCCTCCGGGATAAATGGCAAAGTGAGGTTTCCGGTTGTGAATACAAAAGAACCCGGCGCGGTAAAATATTCCAGGTTAATGAATGCAGGGCACAAGGCTGCTGTGATCTCAAGCATGCGCTCGTTAGTCAACCTACCGAGGTAACTTAAGGTCCTTGTTTTAGCGAGCATGTGCAGAGTAACATATCCAGAGGGGTCTGGAAACACGCGGCAGGTTGTTAGGGGAATGCATCGCTTGCCGGGAGGCAGGACTGCTTCGATCTGGAGCCAGAGAAGGAAAAGAGCAGGAACTCGGAGCAGGGGGCGTCCTAATCCTGCAGTCATGTTATTTGCAGAGGAAGCCGGAGCATGGCACAGGCAAGCATCAGCAAACTCGACGCGGTTCCACTCCAAATAGGAAGCAGGAAAGGGGGGGTGTCAAAGGGGTTAGGGGGGTCATACCAAGGCTTAATTTGTGCCAAAGCTCACCAGCTGAGGAAGGCAGCGCCTGAGAGCTTCCAAAAAACAAAACAAAACCCCCACACCAGAAAACAAAAGCAGCTCTGAGCATGGGCAGAGTTGCCTTCCCCCCTAAGCCACCACGGCGCGCCTCTTCGTTTCAGGGCTGCAGCCTCGACTTCCCACCCCAGATGGGCTTGGCTTATCAGCGCCGCTCATTTTATTAAGTAAATAACATTAAGTGCCTGCTCCTCTGGAGGTGGGGGGGAGGAGTGTGGCGTTTGGGAGCCAAGGCTTGGGAAGCAGCCAAGCCTCAGGTTGTTGTGCCCACAAACCTGCGCGAAGAATTCTCCTTTTGTTCTCTCTGGGAGAGCGCGCGAGGGAGGGAGGGAGGAGGAGGCGCGTCACGCGCTCCCCCCGCCCCCCCCCGCCGCCCGGGCCTGCCAATCCCGCCCCGAGGGGGTCGCGAGAAGCAGGGGGATCAGGAGCGCGCGCGCCCGCCCCCCCCCCTCCCCGGGCGCAGCGCCCGCCGGCAGCTCACCTTTGTCTGAGGAGGGCGGCGCGCGCCCTGCTCCTGCTACGCCAGGCTCCTTCTTGCTTTCCCGACCCAAAGCAAGACGCCGGCGGGAGGGGAAGGGCTTTCCCTGCACGGGGAGGTCTTCGCAAGGCAACGGTAGCCGGGGCGGCCCGTGTGTCCTGCACGCTTCTTGCTCTCCCGCTGTCCTCGGGACCGGCTCGAAGGCGTTTTGTTGCCTGAGGCCAAGGGGGCCGGTGCTATCCTGAATCCATCTAGGCCTTTTGCACAGACCTCACAGGAGCGCAGTACTGACCTTTAGAGGGCACAGTTTTATACATTTTGGTTTGCATCTTATAAGTTTCGAATAATATCTGACTTTTCTATTTCGACATCTCCTTGTGACATTGCAGTTAGCATTTTCGGGGGGGGGGTTACGTGTGGAAGTGGTTAGGCTTGCCCAGGGTGCAAAATTGGCACCGGCAATTGCCTGAGGTGGCACAGCAAATTGTGACACAAATAGGCACCCATATTATACTCAAGAAGGGGAAATGCCCCAACAGCATTTCTTAGGAGAAAGCAAGCAAGCAATAATAACTAACCATTTGTTGCCTTTTCATGACACGGAAAAGGTAGAGTCCTCTGTGGAATGGTAGGGGGGAGCCTGCCTCTCCTTGCTCTCCTGCTCCTTGTGGATGTTTTCATTTTTGCTTTGCAGGCCAATCTGGGTGGTTTTTAGTTATTTCCCTACCCCACCAAAGAAGCTCCAGCACTCCAGCAGTGTCATGGAAGAAATTAAACTGGTGAGGCTTTTCTCAGCTTGAAGGTGCGGGGGTAGGAAAAGGTTCTACCTGGCAAGATAGTTTTGCCTGTGGTGCATCTGCAAAAATAAATGGAGGCCAGTACTGGAGAGAGTTGGGTTTGGATTTGAGAAGGTTTGAGCTCAAATTTGAGAAGGTCTAAGTTAAGTTCCCGTTGAGCCATGATGTTCTTTTAAGTGACCTTGGGCTAGTCAGTATTTATCCTCATCACAAAGTAGCAGCAAGGGTGAACTCCATGTATCCTGGCTTGAACTCCAGTGAGGAAGGATGGTATATTAATAAGTCAATCTTCACACACCTACACAGTGCTTCAGCATTATTGCACTGGTATAGTTATACCTGTAACTCCAGGGAAGTATCCCTGCAATAAGAGTGGCTTCAAGTTCACAGCCCCAACCTACAGCATCTCTTTGTATACCCATCATAAACATTTGTTTAGTGCAGTATATTTTATTTTGTTGTAATTACATTTTTTTAAATGTTATAATATAAAGGTAAAGGTAAGTTAAAGGTACCCCTGCCCATACGGGCCAGTCTTGACAGACTCTAGGGTTGTGCGCTCATCTCACTCTAGAGGCCGGGGGCCAGCGCTGTCCGGAGACACTTCCGGGTCATGTGGCCAGCGTGACGAAGCTGCTCTGGCGAACCAGCACCAGAGCCGCACACGGAAACGCCGTTTACCTTCCCGCTATAAAGCGGTACCTATTTATCTACTTGCACTTAAGGGTGCTTTCGAACTGCTAGGTGGGCAGGAGCTGGGACCGAACGACAGGAGCTTACCCAGCCGTGGGGATTTGAACCGCCGACTATGCGATCGGCAAGTCCTAGGCGCTGAGGTTTTACCCACAGCGCCACCCGCGTCCCTTATAATGTTATAATATACTACACTAAAATTGCAATTCTGACCACACTTAGAAAGAAAGGAAAGAGTTCCATTGGGTTCCATGCCATAGAATTGGGTTATAAGTTACCTTTCTTTGTCAGAATGTTAGCTTTCCTTTGTATCCTACCGATGAAGAGATGATGTAATTTAGACAATTCTATAGTACAGGCAACAACCAATTTATGCACCCGAACCTGGAAGTGACTTTAAAAATGGCTCTAAAAGAGCCCCAAAAGGGCATGAAAACAGCACCTAGCAATCCCACGAGTTTGTAAGTGCAATCCCAGGAGTCCTTGCACCAATTGTTGAGACCTGGGGAGAGTTGGTATTTGAGCAAGGAGGTTTGGAGGGAGTGATTGTGGTGAAATTTGGTGTCTTATCAAAGTGCTACTGTTTTTTTAAAGGGGTTTTCAAGGGTTTGTATAAGTTTAGAGGGTGCTTGCAGGTTTCCCTCAATGGTGTTTCAAATATACACAATTTCACTTAAATGTGCGGTGCCTCGGAATGCAACTCCTGCGTAAATGGAGAGTTGCCTTTTTACTTTTTTTTCTCAGACCACACAGAGATCTGCTTCTCTGGTTTGCGGCTAGTCGGAAGTAAACCAGGCTACATCTTGCAGTCTACTTTGAGTTCAGATTATAGATATCAAAGTGCATGTCATGTACATGTTGCATTATCAGTGAACTATGGTGGATATAAATTCTCCTTTAAAAAAATGTGAGCTGAGGCCAGTTCCTATTGCATATATTCCAAAGAGTTCTCTATCTGAATACAAACATAATAAGTGCTATTCATTTATTTGCTTTATAGGTTGGTATCTAAGTAAAAATGTCCAGGTTAGTTAATGGCAAGAGATAATTTGTCCCACTGTGGCTAAAGAGTAATGGGAAGAATAAGCCTTTCAAATGTTGCCTCCCCTTTTTATGCCAATACATACGGTATACTACTGTTGTTTACAATCACAGTGTGAACCATTCATTAAGCTTCATGGCTATTCTGGTCCTATTCAAGCAAACATGTATGAACTGACAAAGCACCTGCAAGCGAACACCATGAATATATTGTTTTTAAGCATCCAAAACTATGCAGGATGGTTAATGAAGGCAAGTAAAGGCACCGTCTCTGCCCCTGAGGAGCATACAGTTGTCATTGAAACATGGTATAGCAATGAATACACCAACAGAATAGGGTCTGCTATGGAGCAGAATAAGTCTTTCTGAGACATCATCAGTACACCATTGACACTGTAAGCTTGCATAGTGTGATGCACACTCACTTCAAGGGTTCACCTAAATTAAGGCGAGACATGGATCTCTGAGCAACCCATAGACATGCCTGCAGGTAATCTTCAGGGAGAACACATTTGCTCACAGGCACAAATTGTGGTCTCCTTTAGAGGAAGATGTGGGATATAAATTTAATAAAACAATTTGTACACAAGTCAGCTTCCTGGAGCAGAGATAGGCACAGTTGCTTCAATCATGTGACAAGAGCTCAAATATGTTCAGATCTGTTTCACATTATTTCCAAATGCACAATTTATATATACATGATCTAGGATTGGTTTGGCCACCACCATATCTGAATGACTCAAAAGCTGTCCTCTAAATTAAACAAATGGCAGCCTTCCGCAACTTGGTGTCCTCTAAGTTGTTGGACAATGACTCCCGTTAGGCCTGACCTTTGCCATGCTCTCTAGGGCTGAGGAGAACAGGAGTCCAACAAAATATGTAGGGCACCAGGTTAGCTCCATCTACATGGTAAAGCTGGGTTGCTGCCTCATAGACTTACTTGGAGAAGTCCATGAAGTGAACTTGCACAGAACCAAGTCCGTGCTGCAGGCCCCATTCCCTTGCTGTCCTCATCTGGAGCGTTACTATCACAGAGCAACTTACATTATTTCAGCTTCTCTGCATGTCCTGCAATCTACCACACTTCTTTTGCAAGCTACCCTTCCGACAGTGGTAGTCACATTGGTTGTAGAGCCCCAACACGGCACCTCTCCTTTCCCAATGGAGCCCAATTCCCAGCCGTTCACTCATCAGCCAATTATTTCTGTGACACCTCAGCCACCCACATTCCCTACTTTTTTATTTGACTCAGTGCTCTGCAGGGAATAGTGGTGTAGAGAACATTTTTCAGCCTGAAGGCCACATTTTCTCATGGGCAACCTTCTTGGAGGTGCATGTCAGTGGTGGCTGTGGCAACAAATTATTATTATTAGCCTGCCCATCTGCCTGGGTTGCCCCAGCCACTCTGGGCAGCTTCGAACATAATAAAAACACAGTAAAATGTTGAGCATTAAAAACTTCCCCATATAGAGATGTCTTTGGAGAGTTGTGTAGTTGTTTATCTGTTTGCATTGGATGTGTATTGCCCGGGTTGGGTGCCACTACTGAGAAGGCCCTCTGCCTAGTTTCCTGTGACTCTTAGCTCTGTACCGTAGGCTACAGTCCAGTCATGCAAAGGTCAGAGGTATCTGCATGTACAACTCCTCATCCAGGCAAGCAAGGGGCATGATTACAGTTCAAAGACACATTCCAACCAAGCAAAAGAACTGGAGGAAGGTGCAGTGAAAGGCTAGTGAAAGGTGTGGTCAAATAGCAAGGCCTGGAGGGCTGCAGTTGACCCCAGGCCTGAGGTTTCCCACCCCTGGTGTACTGGGACTAGGTCTGTGCCAGCTCAGTGTTGTTCAGTTTTGGATGTTTTCCTCCACTCCCTTGCGCTGGGCTCAATAAATCCTAAGAACACACCCTGTTTTTGCATCTATGGCACAAACAGCAACTGACAATCCTGCAAAGATAGGAGGGGATGCAAATATCTTTAGAATTTACCCAGTGACTCCTCTGGTGGGATAGATTCAAGTGAGGTAGTGGATGTGGGAAAGCCCCTCTCTTTAAAACTCCCACCAAACTGATACAAATCCTCCTCCTTCATTAGAGTCAGCCCCCATGTGATGGAAAGGGAGTGAGTGGGTGTGAAGCCTTCCTTCCCCTGGCTGTCCCATTGTTATCCGGGCCATAAAGGGAAGCGGTTGGAGATGTGGGCTGCACTGCGGTTGTATAGACGCGGCCGGTTGTATTTCTTCCCAAAGCAGTAAACATTTGTCTTTCCTTGATGGATCGTGTAATCTAGGTTTGAAAGGAAACGTGTCCCCGTGCCATTTGGCCCAGTCCTACTTGGCGTACTCATCCCTCGGCACGTACAGGCACATGCTCGCACATACGCATTGTCACTTGGATCTGGGATTAGGTTGCAGAAATTCCATCCCCTGACAAGACATGTATCCCCTTGCAGAGGACAGCACCTGCCTGCTAGGAAATCCCTGTATGCTAGAGGAGCAGACAAAGTACCAGAGCAATGAAGAGTGTGTGAAGGTTGCTCAGATGAGGCGGCACCCGAAACAGCAAAGCCGAGTGTACGTGTGTCTTCCTCTCCATCAGCTGATGTGTGGGACTAGGAGAGAATGACGTTTCCAAGACTCACCCAAAGTGCATCATGCTGGACTTCCGGGTTGACGCGATCTGGAAATGGCGGATTCCCTCCGAGCTCCGGAGGGAACCGGCTCCACTGAGGATGGGTCTTTGCCGCGCCGGCGACGCAGGGACCCTTAAAAACCGC